CCGATAGGGTTAGCGATTTTATGGAAACCAAGCTTTGTGCTGATTGGTCGGTCGAATCAGGGAGCTTCCCGACCGCGTCGGGGCTGCTACGCGTTACAACGTCGTTACAAATATTAGGCACCTTGAGTAATCACAGTACCTTACGGGTTCAAATCAGCACCTAACAGGTTTACATGAGCCCCTCGCCTGGTTGAAATTGGCACCTCGGCAGGTTCGCATGATTGGTTAATAAATCCACCTTAGCAGGTTCACATCAGCACCTCAGCACATGAGCACCTTATTAGCAGAAATAACAGTTAAATCTCGTCGTGTGCGGCGGGCTTTAAAGAAGTGCACGCGCGTACGACGAATGACAGTTAGGCGCGTGTAATGTGTGCGGGCAGGCTTTTTTTCCCCGCCGGCGGCTGAATGAAATCAGACAGTTGACGACGCACCCTCTGTTTATAAATTATATGCACATATGTCTTGTCTAACCTCATTACTGTTTGTCTGGTTGTTGACGTCTTTCCATCAAAAGTCGAAACATTATTGGTCGGTTGTTCTTCTTTTCATCAGTCATTTGGCCATAACAAAACTGCGTAAGTTAAATAGGCCTAGGCTAGACCAAACCAGGGCTATGCTACCTAGGCCTAGCCTAGGCTAGGCCTAATTAGTAATATAGGGGTCTATCAGATAGATAGACCCCCAGGCATCTGCCCGTAGCCTGGCCCTAGGCCAGGCTTACTTTAAGCAAAATTAATTAAATTCGTTAAGGCCAGCCTAGACCTATAATAGGAAGACTTCTTGGGCACTGATCAGTCACTGTCTTCTGCTAGAATATTTTGACAGAAAACTTGGAAATGTAGACAAAAAAAGTTTCTTTTCATATGTACCTCTAGCCTAGGCATAGGCTAATAATACGCTTGACAAATGTAGGCCTATGCCTAGAAATTATATCCAATATGGCATATCAACAAAGTAAATATAAAACAAACATAATCCTGAATAAGACAATTTATGCCCATGTCATTAACCTCAACCTGATATTATTATTAATTAACCAACTGGGTAAGGGAGTGTTCAGAAATACTTGTTGTTGGGGAAGGGGCGAGGGTTTCTAAGTAATGTGGAACAAAATCCTTTTAGGTCCTGAAAAATGAATCGAAAAATAAAATTGCACTTAAGGAAGGGGATAAATACAATTAAGAAATATTAGCTTTTCTACATATAACGTCTTAAATAAGACTGATAATTTTAGATGCCCTCTAAGTGCTTTTATGGTAAAACTTCCCAAAACGTTATGGTATTTATGGTAACATTTTTCTAAACGATGGTACTGTGTTTGGACACACAGTACCGTTTTGTTTAGCGTTTCGGGAAGTTTTACCATAAAGGCTACGATTT